AAACTTCTTGGGTTGCATCATCTAACAAGATGTTATGACTGTAAAGTGCTGGCTTACCAGTTGTGATATGGAAAAGACTGATGATATCACCATGATTCAAACTACCTGAGTCATCATAAGAAGCGTTTTGACTATAACGTCGAATAAGCCAATCATCGTCGCGATTTGCATTCTCAAAGAGGGTCACTAAATATCGAAAATTTTAATTGTTATGCTTGCTTGTAAACTTTATTATACAAAATATACATATATATTAACTCAAAAATACCTTGCTGATGCTTCGATTTTGGAGTTGCTTCCGAATTATGATGAGAATGTAAATTGCATCCTGTCGCTTGATGCTTAAATCCAATAATGGTATTAAAGTATACAAGATTTCCAAGATTTCCTGTACTTTTGCCTGTTTCACTGGCTCCAATAATAGTCCAAACATCATTTTCCAAATCTACTTTCTGACCATTACAAATAACCTTTATAAATTTTATAAATAAAGTTTAGAATTTTAAGTTTCTCTAGTATAAACAAATAATAATAATAAATACCATATATTGCTGACACGAGTATTTGATCCTTCTAGTAGTCAAATATTTTCTAGTAGACACATGAACAAGAGCAATTTTTGATCCGTTTACAATTGGCCTTTTCTGAAATTTATTATTTAAAAAAAAAACAAAATAGTCATAACGAGCAAGCTGCAAAAGTTCACGATACGAAATTCTAAGTTATCTTACGAGAAAATCTTCCTTCACTTCTTCAGCAGATAAGCGCCAGTTGAAATAACGAAAATTGCTATTTGATAAAATGATCATTTAATATTTTTGTGATTTAGATTAACTTCATTGCTATGATAAATCATACCTGATTTCTCCATTAATCCCACTATAAGAAAAAGCACGTCCAATATATAGCGGTCCATCATTGAACTTAACATTTTGCGTTTTAACGTCCTGTAAGCTATAGTGCCAGGTCCACTGACCGTCTATGTAAAGGTCTAATCTTTTTTTAGAATCAGAAAGTGTATAAGTTAGATGGTACCATTTGTTTAACAAAAGTCCGGGAGCGAGTGCGCCAGTTCCTGCACTATCATCACAGTCGCTTGTGAAGCGAGCAAGCAGTTTATCTTCTTTTAGCCAAAAACCAGGTGTGCAAATTAAATCTCCAGTACCTATATTTTATTGGAAGCCGAAAAAGCACCAGTTAGACAAAAGATTCTAAAAAAATCAATTTTAACCAATAATTTGCTGACCAAAGCCTTTCTTCCAAAAAGCATACCTTTATGAAAGATAGTTGCATATGGAAAATTATAACAATGAAGTTTAAGTCGTAATGTCACTGATAGTTCATTTTTCGTCACGGGTAAGTCAGCATGTTTAAATATTTGTTGATCTTGAGCTCTCAACGTAATGGGGTCTGAAATAAGTTCAACGAACTTCATTTTTATGAAACAATGAATTTAATATGCAAAGTTTTTTATAGAGAATATCGAAGCTCTGTCTCACGAACCCAGCCCTTTTATACTATAATTCGGACTATTTTAAGATTGATTGAATTTCTATAATAATAAGTGTAGTGTTACACCTTGTAATTCCCCGTTT